CACCCGCTCCCCTTACCGCGCGGGGCGGGACGACGGCCGGTTCCACCCGCTCCCCTTACCGCGCGGGGCGGGACGACGGCCGGCTTCACCCGCTCCCCTTACCGCGCGGGGCGGGACGACGGCCGGTTCCACCCGCTCCCCTCACCTCTTGGTGCCCACCCGGTGGTTGGGCGCGATGTCGATGGTGTCTGTGGCAGAGTCGTGCCGCACGGCCAGGCCCAGGTCCGCGATGCAGCAGGTGCCGTTTTTCTTCACCAGGATGTTCTTGGATTTCAGATCACGGTGGGCGATGGCGGGTTTGCCTGCGGGGAGAGGACGCAGTGCACGGGCAGGGTGTGAATCGGTAAGCCAGAAAAATAAATAAATCATGCTGCATCAAACTTGCAAGCTTTCTGTGTTGGAGGCCAGGCAACTGGAACGCAGCAGTAATACTTAAAGACTCAAAATGCCCATGATAAAGAGCGGGTTAGAGGCACTGAACACTGGCCGGAGCACCGGGACTGAACACAGGCCTCAATCTCAGACCTGAGCACGCAGGGTCAGTGCAGCCTGGGAGGAAGCCTTCAGTTCATTAATGAGGCACCTCTGCACGTGTGTGTGTGTGTGTGTGTGTGTGTGTGCGTGTGTGCGTCAGCTAGCCTGTGCGTGGCGGTGGGGTCTCTCTGGCCCCCTCACCTTGCGTCCCCACAATCTCCATGTGCAGGTGTGCCAGACCGCTGGCGGTGGACAGGGACAGCTTGATCATGCCCTCCACGGTGACTGTGTACCGGTTCAGGTAGTCAAACAGGGAGCCGTGCTCATGGTAGTCAGAGACCAGCCACAGCTGGGTCCACGTGCCGTTATCTGGGGGGTTCAAGCACAGGGGGGGGGGTTGAGGCTCTGCTAGATCCGTGAGCATCAGAGCGTGGATGACGTCATCACGCCGGCCAGGCCACACGCAGGGCTCTCACCTTTGTTGTCGGCGGCGATGAAGCCCAGGATGTTCTCGTGTCGCAGCATGACGGTCTGGTAGATCTCGGCCTCCCGGAACCAGGAGCGCTCCTCTCGCGAGGAGAAGATCTTAACGGCCACCTCCTCCCCCCTCCAGCGGCCGCGCCACACCTCCCCAAACCTGCCCTTGCCGATACTCTCCTGCAGGATGATGGTTCTTGCGATGGTTCTCTGCACCAGGAGGGGTAAGCCTGTAGGAAGACAATCATATGTGATACTCCCATGTCATGTGGCACGAGGTCACGTGATCCCCATGTGACCAAGGCTCAAACGACTCATTGATAGGCCCACAACACAAAAGCTGACTGCAAACTTGCAGGAGAGGTGTAAGCCTACAGTTCTCTAACGTACAGATGAAGGAGGGGGACGGGGGGGCAAACATGCCGAAAGCCACCATAAGCCATGACAGGGAACATCTGTAATGCGGACACTGCCGAGCCCAGGAGAGACGCACCAGAGCCAGAGCCGGACGTGGTCATGTCGTAGATGAGGTCTTTGAGGGTGGTGCCATCGGCCAGGAAGGGGTGGTCCATGGACGGGTCCTCCTCACTGGGCACGCGCTGGTGGATGCCGGAGCGGCTGTGGCAGATGTAGAAGACCAGGACCAGCACGAAGCAGAGCACACAGACCGGTCCCGCAATGACCGCCGCCAGTCCCACGGGACCCAGGGGGGAGGCTCGAGGGGGGGGATCTGGCCATGCAAAGACAGGGAAGCGCAGCAGTGAGTGAAACAATTTACCCCATTATATTTGCTAAAAAACATAAATACCATACACTGAATTTTCTCTCTCTCTCTTTTACCTAGTATACCTGGAAAGGAATTATTCTTAACCTAAATTTACTTACTTATTTTTTACCTTTTCGTCTATTTATTTTTCTTCTAAAGCCAATATATAGAAAGGGACGCTAAGGACCCTAAAAGAGGCATTTAGACGGCTGCTGAATCTGACAGTGCGTAAGCAAATGAACCAGATACAGACACACCCAGACGGCTGCTGTACAAATCTCCGCCCATCCATCCTTTTTCCCCAAACTGCTTGTTCCATTCGGGGTTTTGCTGGTTATTGTTCCTCCTGTGAAATTTGCCTCAAGCTGAAAGTTCGAGGATGAACGGCCCAAATTGTAATTATGGGGCACCAGCCCAACGCAATGACACACCAGTCACTCACACACACACACCTACGGGCAATTTGGCAACTCCAGTTAACACCTCAGCATGTTTCTGGACTGTGGGGGGGGGGGCACCCGAGTACCAGGAAGAAACCCCACAAGAATATGGGGAGGACATGCAAACTGCACACACATGGAACCCGGGCAGAGACTTGAACCCAGGTCCCAGGGGTAGGAGGTGACTGCTAACCACTGCCCATGATGACATCTCCACATTTTACACGACAGGGACAGCAGAGGCCTGTCACAGACTGGTAAGGCTGAGGAACACACATCAGCCAGGATCAGCCGGAGCAGCGCCCGTCCCGACAGGCAGCCGGAGCAGCGCCCGTCCCGACAGGCAGCCGGAGCAGCGC